CATTCCCCCCTGACAATGTGGACCATCGAGGCTCAGTTTGTAATCTTAATTTTCTCCCCTTGACCAATTTCCCAAAACTGTTGACTGCAGCACGTAAGTATTTGAAAAAGATATCCGGTCCCAGATTTGTGTTTTAATGGATGGAGTAGAGTAATTGAAACAAAGCAGATCAGCTATGATTTTATCAAATGGTCGAATAGGTTTGAGGGGCCGAATGGGCCAAAGGGTCTTTTTCTGTGTTGTAGATCTCTATTGCTCAATGATTTTTGCCCTTCAGTGCAATGACATGCCAGAAGAAGGTTCTAAAATATAAATCCCATTTTCCAACGATGCCGTCAGTGAGTAATATTTTCTTTTAAGAGAAAGCCTTATGCATTCTTGCAACACATATTTCTTCTAAATTGAAATCCCTGGTGTAGGTGGGGTTCTGTGGGGAAGCCTGTCTTAAATATGCTAAAATGTTGGCTCTGGAAATGTTGAGTCAGGAGCAGGTCGAGCGGGAGTCTCTCCCCAGAATTCCACACCTTGCACTCCTTCATAAAACACTACTGCAGCACAAAACTATGGTGGGATGTCAGGATATTTAAATTGTGTTTTTGTTTTGTTTGCATTTAAAATAAGGAGCAGAAGGTAAATAATTCAGCATAAAAGGAGGAGTGTTTTGAGTCAGGTTAACTTGGTGCAATAATTGTTTCATCCAGATCATTGATAGTTGAATTAAAACAATACATTGGTGCTCAGTTCAAACCTACTGCATCCCTTGTGCTCCTAGGTAACATGTACTCTACCTTCCTTATGAACTGGCCATCACGGTGATAGACTGGCTTAGTTCACTGAACAGCAGTGCTGAGGGCGTGAGGCACTGTTAGAAACATTAACAGAATCGAAAGTTGCTGGTGGGTTAGAAGCTAAGACAGACAGCCTTTTTGTGTGGAGAGAGTTTATTGACTTCCTCAGTCTCACAGCTTTCAATTCACCAACCCAGCATCACAGCATATGTTCAAAGGCAATTAGCATCATGGTGTGGAGGTAACGGTGTTGGACTGGGGTGGACCAGATCAGGAGTCACACATCATCAGGTCATAGTCCAACAGGTTTATGTGAAATCACAAGCTTTTGGAGCAGTGCTCCTTCATCTGACCAAGGAGCAATGCTCTGAAAACTTGTGTGATTTCAAATGAACCTGTTGGACTATAAGCTGGTGTGGTGTGAGTCCTGACAATTAATACCCACCACCTACTTCTCTTAGCTAGTGTCTATCTCTCAACTAGCATCACTGAAACTGGCTATCTGTTTGTTACAACATTGCTATTAGTGGAACCTTGCTGTCCACAAAATGGCTGCCATGTTTCCTACATTATAATAAGGACCATGCTTTACATTATGCTTTAATTGGCTGTAAAGTGTTTTGGAATGCTCTGCGATCATGGAAGGTGCTTTGTAAATGCAAATCTTTACTTTACTTACAGAAAGTGTGCAGAGTGTAAGTCTTCTGTTGACTCAGAGCGTAAAGACATCCCTAATCCCCGAAAAACCCACAATCTTGCTCAGCAGTAAGCATGCAGTTCAATTTTATTGCATATAAAGGTTTCTCCTTGATCTGCAGTCTTCTGGCCTGTGTCTCCCCTGTGTTAATTTTTATTGCTAGGGGTCACCATATTAGGGAAATCTGATTTCAAAGGGTCTCCCAGTTGTTCCCTTCCAGCAGCTAAGAAACTGTTCCACCATCCTTCATCCCCACCTGACAAAAATCAAAAATTCGTCAGAAAACAGACAGTAGGAATTCGCTCAGGTTCTCAAACCTTTAGTTTCTGAAGATTGGCATTAATGGTATCTCTGATTAATATGAACACACAAATTAGGTGTAGAAGAAGGCTACTAGGCCCCTCGAACCTATCCACCAAGCAGTAAGATCATGAGTGATCTGACTACTCCACATTCTCTACTGTACTGCTACCCCAAGGTCCTGATAACTTTGCACTCTCCCTTGCTAATCAAAAGAGAAAGTGAAAGTCAATATTAAAATATATCACTGTTCTTTCGCTGTCGCTGGGTCAAAACCTGGAACTCCATCCCTAACAGCACTGTGCATCCACCTACACAGAATTCATTGCAGCAGTTCAAGAAGGCAGAACACCACCATATATTAATGACTTGGAGGAAGGAAGCGAACGCACTGCAGCCAAATTTGCAGACAACACAAAAATAGGTGGAAAGGCAAGTTGCGAGAAGGATACAAACAGTTTACAGAGAGATATTGATCGATAAAGTAGTGGGGAAAAATGCTGGCAAATGGAGTTTCAGATGAGAAAATGTGAAGTTGTTCATTTTGGAAGGGAGAACAAAAGAACAGAATATTATTTAAATGGAGAAAACTGCAGAAAGCTGCAACACAAAGGGACTTGGAGATACTTGTGCATGTACAGAAAGCCAGCACACACAGGCAGCAGGTAATCAGGAAGGCAAATAGAATGTTGGCTCTTATTTCAAGGAGTTTGGGGTATAAGAGGAGGAAAGTCTCACTGGAGCTGTACAAGGTGCTAGTGAGACCACAGTACTGTGAGCAGTTTTGGTTCCCTTACGTTAAGAAAAGATCTTTCGTTGGAGGCAGTTCAGAGAAGGTTCACTAGTATGATCCCTGGTTTGGAGGGATTGTCTTATGAGCAAAGGTTAAACAGTTTTGGACTCTGCTCACTGGAGTTTAGAAGAATGAGAGGTGATCTCATTGAAACATATAGGATTCTTAAGGGGGTTGACAGGGTAAATGCTGCGAGGATATTTACCCTCATGGGAGAGTCTGGAACCACAGGGCATCATCTCAGACTAAACAGATGCCAATTTAAGACAGAGATGAGGAGGAATTTCTTCTCTCAGAGGGTTGTGAGTCTTTGGAACTCCTTGCCACAGAGAGTTGTAGGAGCTGTTGTGTATATTTAAGGCTGAGATAGATAGATTCTTGTTCAGTATAGGAATCAAGCGTTACGGGGAAAGGGCAGGAAAGTGAGCATGGGAATGTTGGATCAGCCATGGTCCTAATGACTGGCAGAGCATACTTGAGGAGCTGAACAGCCTACTCCTGTTCACATTTCTTATGGTCTTACTACCTTCTCAGTAAGGCAACGAATGCACTGCCCACACCCCATGAATGAAAAACAATCCCACTGGCCGCACTCTCATTAGAATGAGTGTAACTGGGGGCCACCACACCTCAGGCAAAGGGTGAAGTTGAGAAGGCAGAGCCTTCATGGTGACTTCAGCCAAAAGGGGAATTGGGCCCACTTTGTTGGTGTCCCTCGACATCACAAACCAGCCATCCAGCCAACGAAGCTAACGATGCCCAAAAGAAGGATTTATCAACTAACTCCACCCCCATCTATTAAATCTTTTGAGGAAAGATTTTGCTCCTGCCCCTCAAAGATAGACTGAAAATAAATATCTCTTCACATTTCTCATTCACACCCTTGTTCATTCATCCCTCTGTTTTCTAATGTTTGAACTCGCGAGGTGCTATCAACCAGCAGAGCACTGATTGGGAAGTTGCAAAAATGAGGTAAATCATTTCTGCACTGCATACCAAACAATAATGTTTCATCTTAGCAACAATTCAGCATGTTAGCATTATTAGGACTTGTCCACTAAAATCTCAGGTATTGCAGATCCTCCCCACAGATTATTCTCTAGTGTGGACACAGGTAAGATGCTTTCAATTGTGCAGGGAGACCAGAATCACAGAATCTCTACAGTGTGGAAACAGGTCATTTGGCCCATCAAGTCCACACCAACCACCCCCACAAAGAACATCCCACCCAGACCCAGACCCCCTATCCTATCACCTTGCATTCCCCATGGCTAACCCACCTGGCCTGCAAGTCCCTGGACATTACGGGGCAATTTAGCACGACCGATCCACCCTAACCTGCACGTCTTTGGGACTGTGGGGGGAAACCCACGTAGAAATGGGGAGAGTGTGCAAACTCCACACAGACAGTCGCCTGAGGGTGGGATCAAACCCAGGTCCCGGGCACCATCAGGCAGCAGTGCCACTCACTGAGCCACTGTACCACCCAACTAGGGGCTATAAATACAAAACAGGCAGTAATTAACCTATCAGGGAATTCAAGGGAACTTCTTTACTCAGAGTGTTGTGAGAATGTGGAACTCACAATTACAGGGAGTGGACCAGATGAATAGCATTCATGTGTTTAAGAAGCAATAGATAATATAGAACAGAAGAGGTACATTGATACATGTTCTGTTAGGTTTGAATGAATACCATTCAAGTCTCAAGTAATGAGATGCTGTTTAACATTAGTAGAGAAATTGAAAAGAAAAGCACCCTCAGCCCCTGTTCAGATTTCCCCAGCCTGGTTTTGACACTTTAAAAAAAGATAACCAATCTATTCAGATGTTTTATGACACAAGTCTAGAGCAAGTAGGATTTGAACTCAGGCCGAATGACCCAAAGGTTACTATCCACACCTCAGCAACTTCCGCTGGTTCTGTTTATTAGTACATGCTTCAGCTGCAGCTATGAAGTATTTCCTTGGAACAATTAAACTTTTTAATTATTCATTTGTGGGAAGTGGGTGTCGCTGGCTGGCCAGCATTTATTGCCTGTCCCTAGACTGAAGCACTTTAATTACTAGCTTTAATATAAAAAGCAATCTACATAGCAATGTACATCATGAATCAACAGATAGATACTGATGCCGTGTGATGTAAAGGAATGGGAGGAGGATTATACAGAGGTTCAAGAAGGCAGCTCACCACCACCTTCCCAAGGGCAACCAGGGATAGGCAATAAAAGCTGGCCCAGCCAGATATGCCCACATCCCACGAATGAATAAAACAAAAAGCCTAAATACCAGTAGGAATCCACAGGGCCAAATGGCCTCATTCTGTGCTGTTAATTCTGAGCCATTATATGGCCTTTCCAAGCCACTGTACTGTTTTATAATAACACAGTATCTTTTTATCCCCTCATTCCCATTGTAATACAGATCCGCCCGAGTGGTTACCATGGTTAATGAGACATTCTGCTCCTGGGATCCTAAGTTTGAGGATCAGGCAATTAATGTGAACGTTGGAGGCCTAAAGAGAAAGCTCAGATCCAGCACCCTTTCCCGATTCCCCAACACCAGACTCGGGCAGCTGTTGACCTGTGACTCAGAAGAGTCCATTCTCCGGATATGTGACGACTACGATGTGTCGAAGAAGGAATTCTATTTCGACAGACACCCTGGGCTTTTCCCGTACGTGTTGAACTTTTACCAGACCGGGAAGTTGCACATGATGGATGATCTTTGCGTTTTCTCCTTTTCGCAGGAGATTGAATACTGGGGCATCAATGAATTCTTCCTCGATTCCTGCTGCAGGTACCGCTACCACGAGCGTAAAACCGAGAGCAGGCGCAGAAACTGGGATGACGACAGTGATGTGAGCAGTATCGAGACCTCTCCAGATGAGATCTTGGACTTCAACCGAGACTTGCTACTATTCCGTGGCTTGAAGTACGGGAACTGCAGGAAGCAGCTCTGGCTAACCCTGGAGAACCCAGGCTACTCCATCCCAAGTAGACTTTTCAGCTTCCTCTCCATCAGTGTGGTTCTGGGCTCCATTGCCACCATGTGCATTCACAGCATGCCCGAGTATCAGATTCTAGACCAAAACAACAACGAGATTGATGATCCCAGGTTACAGATTGTGGAGCAGTTCTGCATTGCCTGGTTCACCATGGAAGTCTGTTCCCGCCTGCTCCTGAGCCCTAACATTAAGAAATTTTGTTGCCACCCACTCAATATTATCGACATAATTTCCGTCTTACCGTTTTACTTCACCCTGCTGGTTCACCTGATCCTCAGACGTACGACAGATCTGGAAAATCTGGGGAAGGTGGTCCAAGTCCTGAGGTTGATGAGGATCTTTAGGGTGCTCAAGCTAGCACGCCACTCGACAGGACTCCGATCATTGGGAGCAACCTTAAAGGTTAGATTGGAACTCTCCAAGTCGTTTATAAAACAAAGCACTGCACGTGCTGGAAATCTCAAACAGAAACAGCTGGAGAAACTCAACAGGTCTGGCAGCATCTGTGGAGGGAGAAGCAGAGTTAACGTTTCAAGTCCAAAGACTTGGACTCTGTCTCATAGAGAAAGTGGCCATTCAGCCCTCCAAAGAGCAACCCACCCAGACCCCCACCCTATATTTGTCAAGGCCATTCCACCTAACCTGCACATCTTTGGACTGTGGGAGGAAACCAGAGCACCCAGAGGAAACCCCCACAGTCACAGGGAGAATGTGCAAACTCCACACAAACGGCCACCCAAGTGTAGAATCAAACCTGGGTCCCTGATGCGTGAGGCAGCAGTGCTAACCACTGAGCCACCGTCTATCCCTATTTTGCACTCCACAGATGCTTCCAGACCTGCTGTGTTTCTCCAGCAATTTATTTTTCTGTTTCCTAATTGTTTGACATTTTAAAATAATTTTAACTGCTGACTATGAAGTTGGTTTTCCTTTTTGAATTCTCTCCTGTGGTTAATTACATTCAGGGCAGATGACGGTGTAGTGGTAACATTACTGGACTAGTAATCCCGAATCCCAGGGGAATGTCCTGAGGACTGGATTTGAATCCCACCGTGGCAGATAGTGAAATTTGAATTCCAGAAAAGTCTGGAATAAAAAGCTAATCAAATGCTATTGATTGTTGTAAGAACCCATCTAGTTCACTGTTGGACCTTAGCGAAGGAAATCTGTCATCCTTACATGTGACTCCAGACCCACAGCAATGTGGTTGACTTAACTTTTTTTCCCTTCTTATGCAGGATTGTGGGGTGGGGGAGAGGTGGAGCTGGGGTGGGGGGATGCGTGGAGGTGGTGGGGTGGGGTGGCATAGGCAGGCATTTACTGCCCATCCCTAATTGCCCAGAGGACAGTTAAGAGTCAACCACATTGCTGTGGGTCTGGAGTCAAATGTGGGTCGTACCAGATAAGGAAAGGCATCTGGATGGGTATATGAATAAGAAGGGTTTAGAGGGATACTGGCCAAATGCCGGAAAATGGGACTAGATTAATTTAGGATATCTGGTTAGCATGGGCAAGTTGGACCGAAGGGTTTGTTTCCATGACATACTGCCTCCAGGCAATTAGGGATGGACCATAAATGCTGCTTTAGCCAATGATTCACACATCCCAAGAATGAATTCAAAAAATATATATTTCCCATCCCATTGAATCCCTACAGTGTGGAAACAGGCCCTTCAGCCCAACAAGTTCACACTGACCCTCAGAGAATCCCACCTAGACCCATCCCCCTCGAACCCACCTAATCTACACATCCCTGAACACTACAGGCAATTTAGCATGGCCAATCCACCTAGCCTGCACATCTTTGGACTGTGGGAGGAAACAAGAGCACCTGGAGGGGATCTATACAGACACAGGGAGAATGTGCAAACCGCACAAAGACAGTTGCCCAAGGGTGGAATTGAACCCAGGTCCCTGGTGCTGTGAGGCAGCAGTGCTAACCTCTGAGCCACCAGCTGCCCTATATTTCTGCTCTATTATCTCTGCTTGTTTGTATGGAGACTGTTTTATTGAACCATGTAACACCATCAAGAAATGATGGGAATCCAAATAACATAAACCACTGTTCGTTAAACTCTTTTCTTCAGTGATCCCAATTCGAGGATTGAAAATTGTTGCAACCCCTGAGTGAGAATAGGGGGCTGTAGAGGAGGGGGTAATCTGTGAGAGAATGGGAGTAGTTAGAGTCAGAGCTGAGCTATCAGAGCTCAGTCAGATCTCCATGAAGTCCATTGCTGCCTCAGAACTCGCAACAGCGAAATATCAGCTTTCAACCGCTCTTTGCAAAGCCCTGATGTAAACATGGATACACTGCAGGATAGAGACATCACATCAGAAATCACAAAGTTATTAATTTGTGTATTTTCCATTTGAAGATATTTGCATTAGTATCATCAATCCAATTTAACATTGTTACCGTGGCTAAAGGTATTCTAGCAAATTGGCACCAATTACATTGAGCTTATAAGACTCCTCACTGCAGGATAATGAGAATGAATTTCAGAAATTTAATTGAGGAGTTGATGCATGCGATCCTGATTAATATACTCAGGAGTCCATTACTTGCTGGAATCTAACCAAACAGATAAAATTTTTTGGAGAGAAAATGCTGGACAACAGTCATTATAGATAATATTAAAGTTTTACATTTTAAATGCAACTCCATCTTTTCTGAAACTCCATGCTTAAATGTCTCCAATCAGATTTCTGCCCTACTCACTGTAACACAACAGCTTTTATCAAAGTCACTGATGACTGTAACAAAGGTAAACTTGTCCTCCTCCTGTCATTGAAACATATAAGATGGGAGCAAGGGTAGGCCATTCAATATGATCATAGCTGATACAGTCATAAAGTCATACAGCATGGAAATAGACCCTTCAGTCCAACTAGTCCATGCCGACCATAATCCCAAACTAAACTAGTCCCACCCGCCTGCACTTGGCCCATATCCATCCAAACCCTTCTTATTCATGTACTTACCCAAATGTCTTTTAAACCTTGTAACTGTACCTGCATCCACCACTTCCTCTGGAAACTCATTCCAGACAAGAACCGCTCCCTGTGTAAAACAATTGCCCCTCATATCTTTTTTTTAAATCTTTCTCCTCTCACCTTGAAAATATTTCCCCTAGTCTTGAAATCCCCCACCCTAGGGAAAAAGACACCTGCCATTCACCTCATCTATACCCTTCATTATTTTATAAACCTCTATTAGGGCACCTCTCAACCTCTTACACTCCAGTGAAAAAAATTCCCAGCCCTATCCAATCTGTCCGTATAACTTAAAATCTCCATTCCTGGCAACATCCTGGTAAATCTCTTCTGAACCTCTCCAGCTTAATAATATCCTTCCAACTTAGTACTCTGTTCCCACTTTCTCCTCATATTCTTTGATCCCTTTAGCCCTCAGTATTATAAATAACTCCTTCTTGAAAACATTCAATGTTTTGGCATCAACTGCTTTCTGTGTTAGCGAATTGCACAGGCTCATCACTCTCAAGGTGAAAACATTTCTCCTCAGCTCAGTCCTATGTGGCCTATCTCATACCCCATATTAGTTAGCTAATAACTTAAAGTAGGCAAAAGCAGGTCATTTTTGGGTTGGCAAGGTGTGACGAGTAGGGAGCCATAGGGATCAAAGCTGGGACATCAACCATTTACAATTTATAACAATGACTTGGATGATGGGACCACATCTGTGGTTCTAAATTTGCTGATGACACAAAGATAGTTAGGAAAGCAAATTGTGAAGAGGTTATAAGGAGGCTACAAAGAGACATTGTGAGTTTAAGTGAATGGGAAAATAAAATGGTGGCTGGAGTACCATGTAGAAAAATGCTAACCTTTGGCAAGAAGAATGGAAAAGCAGTATATTACTTAAACCAAAAGATATTGCAGAATTCTGAAAGCAGCGGGATTTGAGATTCCTGCTGTGTGAATTACAAAAGGCTAGCATGTAGGTCCAGCTAGTGACTAGGAAGGCAAACTGAATGTTGGCATTCATTACAAGGAGAAAAGAAGACAATTGTAGGGAATTACAGTTGTACAGGGCTTTAGTGAAACCACATCTGGAGCATTCTGTATAATTTTAGTCACTATACTTAACTAAGGACATAATTACATTAGAAGCAGTTCAGAGAAGATGCATCAACTGATTCCTGGAATGAAGGGGTTATCTTATGACGAATGGTTGGACAAGCTAGTCCTTTATCTGCTGGAGTTTTATTTAAACATATAAAACATTGAGGGGGACTTAACAGGATGAATGCTGAGAGGACATTCCTCTTGTGGGAGAGACCAGAACTGTGGGGCACAGTTTAAAATCAAGAGATTTCACGTTTCAGATGGAGATAAGGAGAAATGTTTTGCATTCACTAAAAAAATACAAAATTGGTTTAACGGCAGGAGACAGAGGGTGGTGGTAGAGGGTTGTTTGTCAGACTGGAGGCCCGTGACCAGTGGAGTTCCACAGTGTTCGGTGTTGGGTCCACTTTTGTTTGTTATTTATGTAAATAATTTGGATGAAAATATAGGAGGAATGATTAATAAGTTTGTGGATGATACCAAAATTTGTGGTATAGTGGACATGAAGAAGGTTATCCAAGATTACAAAGAAATCTTGATCAATGGGCTGAGGAGTGGCAGACAAAGTTTAATTTGAATAAATGTGAGGTATTGCATTTTGGTAAAACAAACAAAGGCAGAACTTAAATGTTTAAAAGTAGAGCCTTGAGCAGTGTTGTAGAACAAAAAGACCTAGGGGTTCAAATACATAATTCTTTGAAGTTTGCATCACCTACAGACAGGGCGGTGAAAAAGGCATTTAGCACACTTGCTTTCATCGCTCAGACCTTTGAGTATAAGAGTTAGGAGTATAGTGGTGAGGTTGTAAGGACTTTGGTGAGGCCTCTTCTGGAATATAGTGTCCAGTTCTGGTCACCCTGTTATGGGAAGGATATTATTAAGCTGGAGAGGGTTCAGAAGAGATTTACCAGGATGTTGCCGGGAATGGAGGGTCTGAGTTATAAGGAGAGGCTGGATAGGCTGGGACTTTTTTCATTGGAGCAGAAGGAGGTTGAGGGGTGACCTTATAGAGGTTCATAAAATCATGAAGAGTATAGACGAGGTGAATGGCAGGTGTCTTTTCCCTAGGGTGGGGGATTTCAGGACTAGGGGGGAATATTTTCAAGATGATTGGAGAAAGATTCAAAAAAGACTTGAGGGGCAATGTTTTTACACAGAGAGTGGTTCATGTGTGGAATGAACTTCCAGAGAAAGTGGTGGATGCAGGTACAGTAACAATGTTTAAAAGACAGTTGGGTAAGTACATGAATAGAAAAGGTTTGGAGGGATATAGACCATATGCAGGCAGGTGGGACTAGTTTAGTTTGGGAACATGGTCGGTGTCGATGAGTTGGGCCGAAGGGTCTGTTTCCATGCTCTATGACTCTACCATTAGTCTGTGGACTTGCTTCATTGGAATGTGGTGGAGGCACCATCATTGTTATGGCAGAAGTTGATAGATTCTTGACTAACAAGGGTGTCAAAACTTATAGGTAGCAGTCAGGAAAGTACTGTTAAGACTACAATAAGATTAGCCATAATCTTACAAAATGGTGGAGTAAAGCTGAGGGGCCGAATGGCCTACTGCTCTTCCCCTCAGGAGTGCAACAATACATTATGTATCACTTGGTGTATATCATTACACAATGAGGCACCACTGGACTTGTACAGTCACACAGGACAATCTGCTGATGCAAGTAACATCATGTACTGTCGTTTGTAGAGGGCATATCGCCAAGTAGCCACGTACAGTATACCACATCATTCAGATTGCAATCGCTTCCAAATCCCATACTGGATTATCAGCCTGGATTTATGACTGGTCTGGTGATGAACTTTGCCCCACGCACCCCTCTTTGCAAGTCAGAACTTATATAAAAACATCAACAACCACTTGCATTCATGTAACACCTTCAAGATAGTAAATCATTTCAAGGTCCTTCACAGGAGTGTTATCAAAGTATGACACAAATCCACACCAGGAGGCACTGAGAAGGGCTGGCCAAAGATGCAAGTTCTAAAGGAGGAGAGAGAAGCGAATATCCAGAAATTTTAGGGGGGGCACTTCCAGATACTAAGGAGGCTTGGTACTGAAGGCATGGCTGCATGGAGCAATTGAACTCAGGGATTACCAGAAGTAGAGGAACAGAGAGATCTTGAAGAGTTCTATAAGATCTTGAAGGTAGGGGTAGAAGAGTTGTTGGAGGCATTTGAACACAAAGATGAGAATTTAAAGATTGAGGCACCTTGTAGTTAACATCCTCCATACCACCTTACCCCAAGCCCACATCCAACGGCAGGATTTCTAGCTTGTTATGATGATTCTATGGTACTGATTGTTCATTGTTTCTCCTTTAAAGCACAGCTACCGAGAGGTAGGGATCCTCCTGCTGTACTTGGGCGTAGGAGTCTGTGTCTTCTCTGGGATGGCGTATACAGCTGAAAAGGATGAAGATGTCGGACTGGACACTATTCCAGCCTGCTGGTGGTGGGGTACAGTAAGCATGACTACGGTGGGCTATGGGGATGTGGTGCCCATCACCGTGGCGGGCAAGCTGGCCGCCTCAGGCTGTATCCTTGGGGGCATCTTAGTGGTGGCACTGCCCATCACCATCATCTTCAACAAGTTCTCCCACTTCTACCGACAGCAGAAGGCGCTGGAGGAGGCAGTGAGGAGCAGCCGCCTGAAGGGAAATGAGTCGGAGGACGATGGAGGGGGAGAGGGGAAACTGTCGGAGGTGGAGGAGGATCACGGTCGGGCACACGAGCAGGGATCACGAGATTCCGACAGACTGGAGAATGAAGCACCAACTACAAAGTAAGACTGTCCAAAGGACAGGGTAAAAGTTTTATAGAATCTATATTAGATTGCAGGGCTTTACTAAGGAGGATTCTGAATGAATAAGGACTGTCGTCAAAAAAGAAATTCATATAACTATTATATACACGCTTGCCTCAACCACAGCCCTCAAACTATTCAGAGGAAGCTGTAAATGTGACACCAAGTCAGCCACACTCTAGAGGGCCTAGTGCAATAAATGATACAACCATCTGATTCTTGCTGTTCGGCACTAGCTTGGGTCAACCCTATGCCAAGATGCTAAACTCCTACCCTGAACACAGTCTTTCCTTCACAATATCAAATGTAGCGGTGAGATATTTATTGTCCATTACCAACTGCACATTGCAATAACTAAACTGCAGACCCTCCACAATAGTTTTCAACAGGGAGGTCTGAGTGAGTGGTCACGAGGTTATGTGGAAATCCTCATTTCAATTACTTGGATTTGGAGCTGACTGATCCTACACAATTTGTGTCATCTTGAATCTTCAGTGATTAACTGCTGGGGACTGAGCCTATGGTCGTTTGTTTCGAGTGACACAAGGAGAGAGCTGCCTGGGTTACTCGACAGAAGCAATGCTCTGGAGCATTCATAAAAATTGATTGTCTTTATAAAGTTAGCATCTCATTATCCGCATGCCAATCTTCTTTCAGACACAACAAATAAAACAAATGCCCTTTCGGTGTTACAGGTTAACATGTGCTTTACCCAGTCAAAGTGTGATTAATCAATCTCACCCTCATTGTTGCTGCCTCCTTCTTAACCAGTGTCTGTCTTACACTATCTCCTCCTCAATATCTTCCTGGAATATTTTCATTAACATTGACTTCTGTTTATACAGAAGGTTACAGAAGTCCTGCTGACAATAGCTCCCAGGTTGCAGTTAGTTTGAAGGCATTGATTATCCCTTACAGTCTAAAATCTAAATGCCCCCCCAATAATAGCAACAGAAATTTGTCTTTAAATGGTGCTTTTAACCTAGTTAAACTATGTAGGGCACTTCAGTTTGTTTTTAATGAGGCCAGTACAGGCAGGATGGGCCAAGTGGCCTCATTCTGCCCTGAATACTTCTGTGGTTCTGTGAATTTACACTGAGCCACATAAACTGAGAGATGAGGACATTGTTTTCTCGTGAGGCTACATTTTAAGGAGGATCTTAAATGAGGAGCAGGGTGGAGCGATGGAGTGATCAAGGGAGGAAATTTCAGAACTTGGGATTTTTCTTTATTCATTCGTGGGATATGGGAGTCACTGGCTGGGCCAGCATTTATTGCCTGTCCCTAGTTGCCCTTGAGAAGGTGGTGGTGAGCTGCCTTCTTGAACATCTACAGTTCATGCACTGTGGGTTGACCCATAATGCCATTAGGGAGGGAATTCCAGGATTTTGACCCAGCGACACTGAAAGAATGGTGATATATTCCCAAGTCAGGATGGTGAGTAACTTGGAGGGGAGCTTGCAGATGGTGGAGTTCCCAGGTGTGTTCTACCCTTATCCTTCTAGATGGAAGTGGTCGTGGGTTTGGAAGGTACTGTCTAAGAAGACTGAGCTGTTACCTGTAGCTCCAGAATAGAACACACAATTGCATGTTGTCACATCCACTTGGATTCGCTGAGTGAAGTGTAACACATTACCATCACACCATCCAGACTGTTAGTCAGATCGCAGATAATTTTCAGCTACTAATTTTACCTGTCTTCAGTTCTGCTGCCCTTGTCCTTCTAGACGGATGTGTTTATGGGTTTGAGAGGTCTGAGGATCTTTGGTGAATTTCTACAGTGCCTTTTGTGGATGGTACCCACTGCTGCTACTGAGCGTCAGTGGTGGAAGGAGCGGATGCTTGTGGATGTTGGCAGCTCCATGACTGGCAGCCAATGGCAGAAAGATGTATTAAAAGCCAGGATTGGAGAACCCTAATCCTAATCACATCGCAGCTCAGCGATCTCAGAAGCTTGAGGATCTGGGAGAAGGACAAAGTTTGAACAGAAAGATCAGGAATTTTTAAAATTTATTCATCAGACATCAACATTGCTGGCTAATATTGTCCCCATCCTGAGTTGCCCTGGGGAGGGCGATAGTGAGCTGCTTTCTTGAACCATTGCTGACTTGATTGAAGGGATAACCACAATGATGTCAGGGTGGGAGTTCCAGGATTTTGACCTAGTAACATCGAAGGAATGGTGACATATTTTCAATAAAGGCTAATCGGTTAGCTCTTTCAACGTGTTGTCACAGACTCGATGGGCCAAATGGCTCTGTTCTGTTCTGTATCGTTCTGATTCATATTTTGGCAGCCAGTACATGAATGCGATATGCATATGCGAAACCTTCTCTCTCAGCAAGACACACTTACCCAGCTGGTGTGAAAAATTAAACCGTTCCATCAAGTTATCAATACCAGAGAAAAATCCAATTTTCTGATTGGATGCCAAGCTTGCAAGTAGCCAGCTTTTAGTGTCATAAGATATAAAATCATCCAATTACCACAATGACCTTTGCTGTTTCTCTTTCCTTTGCAAAAGTTATTGCAAACTATCAGATCAATGGAAATGATTTAAAACCATCGTGAGTAGAATAGCTGTAAGTCTTGAAATAATAATGAGTTTAAAGTTGCTGATGGCTATTGATATAACACAGTTGATTCTATCCCTCCCTGATATCCATATTATTCTTGTCAGAGAATGTACATCAGTAAATCATTACTGACCTGACTGAGTGCATCAAAAATTATTGGTCTGTCATCCTCTCCTGTTCTCTGCCTGAATGAAAGCCTTATCCAAACCATCACGATCTCCACCCTGGAGACAAGGAGGCTGATCCTGAATCCACCCCAGCTGGAATCGGCATTGCACCCCATACTCTTGGCAACCTCCCAGCCAACAGACCCGCCCTATCTCTTATGTTAAGCTGAGTTCCTGAAGAATGTACATTTTCACATGGACAGTGATGGTAGAGTCACCAATTTTCTCTCCATGACACGGCTTTACTGGTCTTACTCCCTGTCTTTGGTGTGTGTTGGATGGATTTCTAGGATGACAATTAGCTTATTGTCAACACCTTCTGTGACCATCGCGTCCTGGAGTCTCTGATTTAAAGACAGGATCACCAACACACTGTGCTCATGACCTCCCTTTGGATTGTGGCATTCCAAAATTAAATAACATAAAAGATAGAATTCGACCTTTCAAGTCTGTTTGGCCATTCAATATGATCATGGCTGATCATGGAGTTCAACGCCCTAATCCTACCCTCCCCCCATATCCCATGACCTCTTTAGCCAAAAGAACCATATCTACTCCCTTCTTGAAAACAATATACTACAATATAACAATGTTATTATATTTAGCCATTAATATATGTGAATGTAATCCAAGTTACTCGCTATTTAATTCCTCCAATATACCAATACGCATATTTATATGTATAGAGGATAGCATCATAGAATGATTACAGCGCAGAAGGAAGCCATTCTGCCCTTTGAGTCTATGCTAGTTCTCTGCAAGAGCATTTAACTGGTCCCATTCCCTTAACGTTTTCCTGGCAATATTTGTTTTCCTCTTCAGGTGTTTGTCCAATTTCTTTTGAAATCGCAATTGAATTTGCCTCTAATGCCCTCTTAGGCTGCCCATTCTAGATTGTAGGTTCTGTTGGCATATAAAAGCTTCTTTGTGTCCCTATCATTTATTTTGTCCATCAACTTCAGTTGGTGTCCTCTGCTTCTTGATCCTTCCATCAGTGGGAACAGTTTCTCCCTGCCTACTCAGTCTGGACTCCTCATGATTTTGAATGCTTCTATCAAATCTCCTTTCAACTGTCTTGCCTCACTGGAGAGATCCCTCCCCAATCCTGACCACCCCATACACAAGCACAGAAACACATACACACATAGATGTTGGAAATGGAGCCAATAAGGACAATGCTACAGGGAACAATTGTGTCTTCATCAGATTATTGATAGCTGTTAGTTTAGGGAAATGAGTCTGAGGGCATTCTCCATTGGGCTCTGTTGGTGCCTGGACAAACAGAACAAAACTGTCTCTGTGTGACTCCAATTAGTAAATGTCACTTAGGATGTGCCTCTAAACGTTCTGGTGAGGTTGGGGCTGAGATGAAGATTTCCTTTTAGTCCTGGATATAGAAAGAAACCCAGAAAGTTTTCTGATGAAAGAGCTATTAAACCTCACCTAGCGATTGGAGAAATCCAACTCCTACTGTTGTGGTTGACAATAAGGGAACACCTGAGGATATAACTGTACCATGCCTGACCCCAGAGCCCTTGTTGGTAACACTGGTCAGGGCAGGGATTTTCCACCCAATGCTTTGGGAATGTGTCACTTTTCCTTATTCTTTCATGGGGAAGTGAGAGTTGCTGGCAAGGCCAACATTTGTTGCCTACGTTATCAGTTTACACCATATTGAAAAAAAACCCAAAACGTTTTCAAGAATACGGTAAAGATTTGGATTTATTCAGCACCTTTTTGTAACCTCAAGCTACCACTTTTTGACATGTAGTCACTGTCGTAATACAGGATAAGTGGCAATCAATTTGCTCACAGCAACTCCCACAGACAGCAACGGGAGAATGATTGTAGATCATCACTCTCAGTGATGTTGCTTCAAGGATTTTTTTTTATTTATTCATGGGATGAGGGTGTCACTGGCAAGGTCAGCATTTATTGTGTAACCCTGATTGCTCAGAAGGCAGTTAAGAGTCAACCACTTTGGCTGTGGGTCTGGAGTCACATGTAGGCCAGACCAGATAAGGATGGCAGTTTCCTTCCCTAAAGGACATTAGTGAACCAGATTGTTATTTTTATTGACAATTGACAATGGACTCATGGTCATCATTAGACTCTTAATTCCAGATTTTTATTGAATTCAGTTTTAATAATTGAATTTGGCCATGGCAGGATCTGGACACAGGCCCTCAGATCGTTACCTGGGTCTCTGGATTAACAGTCCAACATTAATACCACTAAGCCATCACCTCTCCATTAGCCCAGGCACCAAGCAGATCTCACCTGCACTTGTTTGAGTAGCGCTACGGGAGGCCAGACATGGCCATAGTTTGAAGTCCCACGCAAAAGGCAGCCCCTCTGACAGTGTAGACCTCTCTCAGCAATGCACTGAAATATCAGGATACATTTGTTACATTCAGTGTTGGTGGAGCAGAACTAAACAAACAGCCTTCAGGAACAGGTACATAAAACAACAGAGCCACACCTGATATCAAGCAATTAAACTTCAAACATCAAGTACTCTTTGTGGAACAGTATGGCTTGTGTTATGCTGCTGACCTGAAGGGAGACAGTGTTATACAGGACACAGTTGGATCTTCATGATTCTTACCCTTTGTCCTCGCAGTCTATGGAGCTTTCCCCTTAACACATTATTTGGTGAGTCACACGGGAACCCTTTGAGATGTTCCACCATTGTCTTAGATCATAGCTGATCTGCACGTTCATTCTATACACTTGTGTCGCTTTCACATCCGTTCACCCTCTTGCCTGAAATCTGTCAATGTCAGTTTTGAAATTTCAATTGGCTTCCACTGTGTGAAGAAATGCTTGCTGATATCAACATTGAATGGCCTGGCTCTAATTTCACAGTTTGAGCTCTGTGTTCTGCAGTATGAAACATAGGAAATAGTTTCTCTCTATCCACCTTGTCAAATCCTTTAATCATCTTAAATATCTCACTCAGATCTGCCCTAATCTTTCAAACTCAAGGGAATACAAGCCTCGTCTATGCAACCTCAGAATTTAACACTGGTGTCACTCTAATGTATCTGTGCTGTACACCCCCTTAAGCCAATATTTCTTTCCAGAGATGCAGTTTCTAGCCTGCTCACATTAATTGAGACAGATCTAACCAGAGCTTTATACAACTATAGCATAAATCCCTTTTCTTTTATCAGCTCTCATCTGATGAAGATGAACAAGGGACAGGGGTCAAGGAAATCAGGTTCAAAATGACAAGTTTGCTTCCTGTGGGATTTGTGCGTTGCTGGCGAGGCCAGTATTTATTGCCCATCTCTAGAAACTGGTGATGAACTTTGAGACAGCAAGTGTTCACTCATGGGACCTTCTGAACAGGAGAGCGACCTCAGTGGTATGGTCCCTGACCCTTGAGAAACAGCAGATGAAAGCAGGAGAGTGATCAAACCTTCCCAAGGGTTGGAAGTGTTCAGATTAATTAAAGATTGAATTAAAGGCAAAAGCTGTTGAAATAAATTAAGCTGTGAAGAACAAACCAAAAATGTTAAAAAATGTGAGGCTAATGCAACTCACAGATACGCTGGGAATATCATTCATAGGCATTTAGTAGTTTCCTTCTTGATTGGAACACCGTAGGAATACATGAATATTCGGAATAAATAATAATATTCAGAATAAAATCACCCTAATACTTGCAAGTGAATTTACATGCATTTTAAATTATCTATGCATGCTATGCAGGATTGTATATCAGTATTATATCCAATAAAGAATACTATCAGTACTATATCTGGATTTATTGGTTTCTGTCACTGAACAAAAATGCACTCAAATATTTCATTGGAAGAACAAAGTGTCAAGGCCAGAGTAATGGGATGTCCATAAGCTATTCCAGCAGGGTGGGCATCACTTCAGACTGTGATATTTTTTTGAGCTGTTGGTGTTGTTGGATAGGCCAACGCCCTGATGTTGTTGGAACTGCAGTCATCTGGTAAGTGAGATTTTTCCATCACTCTCCTGATTTGCACTTGTAGATGGTGGACAGATGTGTGGAACCAAGAGGTGAGTTTCTCACTGCAAAACTCCAAGCCTCTGACCAGCTCTTACAGCCTCAGCAGATGCACAATCTCCAACAGCTGCTGTAATAAAGGCAAAATACAACAGATGCTGGAAATCTGAAACAAACACAGAGAAGGCGAGAGAAACCCTGCAGGTCTGATAGCATCTGTGGAGAGAAAGACAGGGTTAATGTTTCGAGTTCAGTATGACTCTTCTTTGAACTCAACTGCTATTAAGACTTAGTCATCTGCAATCTCTTCTGCCCTAATGTAAAGAAAGTGACTTATTTTCCCTCATTGCCTTCTCAATAACGGGTGCCTCTCTTGCCGGGTCCCATTTCAGCAAACTTTCCCAAACCACATTCCCAAAATCAGGGCAGCTGAAACTAGACATGATATTTGGCACTTATTTCCAGATTTGAGTGAGTACTGAACTAGGTTCGGATGCAGTGCCTTACAAAGCAGGACCCACTAATAAAAGCCACCCAGAATCACATGTGGCATATGGACACTGAGTAAACACCACATGGAGTTTCACACATTTAAGATAGAGATGAAGAGGAATTTCTTCTGTCAGAGCATAGTGAATTTGTGGTATTCTTTACCATAGGGCTGACAAGGTTGGGTCATTAAGAATATTCAAGATTGAAATCTTTAATCTGTAAGGGATTAAAGAGTCATGTGAAAAAGGCAGGAAAGTGGAGTTGAGGGTTATCAGATCAGCTGTGATCTCATTGAATGGCAGGGAGACTCGATGGGCTGAATGGCCTACCTTCGCTCCTATTTCTATGGTCTAATGGTAATTGAATTTCATGTTGCTCTATGAGTGAAGACTGGATCCCTTGGTCTTGATACAATTTATTCTGAGAGAGTATTTTTTTTTTTAAATCCTATTCACAAAAGATTCCAGCCACTGAATTATTTGAATTCTTTCATTAAGATGAAAAATGAACATGAAATTTTGATACAAAAACAGAAATTGTTGGGAAAACGCAGAGGCTCTGGCAACATTGGTGGAGAGAAAGCAGAGTTAACATTTCAGATCCAATAAAGGTCACTGGACCTGAAACATTAACTCTGCTTTCTCTCTACAGGTACTGCCAAACCTGCTGAGTTTCTCCAGCAAGTTCTGTTTTTGTTTCTGATTTCCAGCATCTGCAGTTATTTTTTTTAATGAAATCTTGTTAGGTGGGTTAAATTTATGTTTCATGTAATGGTGATTCAGATTTTTAAGGAAATGGTAATCACTTCTCCTGTGTTCCTTATCACGCAGTGACCTCCTGTCATCCCCTTTCTGTAAACACAAGCTCTTCCAAAGCTCTGCTGCCTGTATTTAATATTTCCTCCGATTATCCTTTTCCGCTCTGCAGACTTCCAAGCTCCATTTGCAGCAGATGCTTTCGAAGCAGAAGTAGATGTGTCAGCATGCCTAGAACCTGAATAGCTGCATCGCCATGCAACTCCGCAGTTTAGAGGGAATGTTGCATATATCGCGATTCACACAAAGTTCCAACCCTCTGCTCACTGACCTACACTGGATCCTTGTCCGACAACACCTTGATTTTGAAATTCTCCCCCTTGCATTCAAGTCCCTCCATGGCCTCACCCCTTCCCTATCTCTATAACTTCATCTGTCGCTACTAAACTTATGAAACCTGTGCGTTCATCTTATTCTGGCCTCCAGCTCAATCCTGATTTTTAATCATTCCACAGTCGGTGCCTTCAGCTGCAGGGATTGTAATCTCTTGAAATCACTGTCTAAATCTCTCTGCTTCTCTTTCCTCCTTCAAAGCACTACTTTATGTGGATGTGGACGTTTTGGAGAGGGTACAGAAAAGGTTTACCAGGAAGTTGCCTGGTATGGGGGATTTTAGTTATGAAGAAAGGTTGGGTAGACTGAGGCAGAGTCACTGGACCCAAAACATTAACTTTGCTACAGACCTACTGAGATTTTCCAGCAATTTCTGCTTTTGTTTTGGATAGATTGGGCTTGTTTTCACTGAAACACAGGAGGTTGAGGGGTGACCTGATAGAAATTTATAAGATTGTGAATGGCATGGATAGAGTGGAAAGTATGAGACTTTTTTCCCAGGGCGGAGGGGTCAATTACTAGGGGACACAGGTTCAAGGTATGTGGTGGGAGATATTTAAAAGAGATGTGCGAGGCAGGTTTTTCACACAAAGGGTGGCGAGTGCCTGGAATGCACTGCCAGAGGAAGGTGGTGGAAGCAGACACAATAGCAGTATTAAAGACGCACCTGGATGAATACATGAATAGGAAGGGGATAGAGGGATACGAGTTCTGTAAGTGAAGACAGTTTTAGTATGGAAGGGCTAAATGTGTCAGCACAGGTTTGGAGGAGCTGAAGGGCCTGTTCCTATGCTGTATTGTTCTTTGTTCTTTCTTCTTCCTTCTTTGTACTTAAAAGCGACATTATTTATTGTGTTATGTATATCATACACCTTTAAGAGACATGCTTATGATATCATCACCATATGTGTGGGTCCTGATAGTATCAAGGTCTCAGTCTCCATCTTACCAGAGCCAATTGTAGAATAACATGCTGAAGCAAGCATGTTACACTTTATAATCAAGCACAGCCTGGGATTGTAATGTACGTTGATAACAGAAACTGGAATAAATATCTTTTGAATCCTTCAGTACTATTTTACTGGGGTCAGGGGGCTGCTTTTTCTCATTAGAGAGAGACAACTGGTTGTGGATTAACCTAAAGGAGACCATGTTCCAGCTGAGGGGAAAGGGTGAACACCAACAGAGGGTGTTGGCTAGCTGAGATGGCTGGGTTGCAATGCAGATTGATGCTAACAGCATGGACTCAATTCCACACTGGCTGTGATTACGTTAAAGGTTACACCTTCTCAACGTCACCCCTCACCTGTGGCAATGCTGATCCTCAGGCAAACCAGCACCAATCATCTCTCTTTCTAATGACTGTGTGGGACCCTGGCAAGTTTATTTTTTTATCACTTCACAGCTAGTTCTTATGTTACAGGAGCTAACATAGCTATTGCTTCATTAGGTATAAATATCCTGTAGAAAATAAACTTTCACTGCATCTATGGCAGATTGTCAGGTCTGATCAGAACATCATTAAGCAAGCTCCTTCTAATACCTCTTTCTGTGGCATATGGGATCAAAATTTTGTTTGTTTTATGCTCCCATCAAAACTGAGGCTGATGTGCTACATTAAAAGTGCTAGATAAATGCAACTATTTATTAACATTTCTTTACATCCAGGCATTTTACAATTCAGGCTTCTAATATTTTTGACAAGTGCATGTCTTAAAAACAGAATTCCCCACAAATGGAAACCTGTGACTACTCACAAACCTTTTTAAGGTTAGTACATCCAAGTTTAACGACTCGATGTGTGTCAGGTACAAAAACAAAGTTGTTGGGAAAGCTCAGCAGGTCTGACAGCATCTGTGAAAAAAAAAACAGATTTAGCGTTTTGGGTCTGGTGCCCCCTCCTCAGATTGCCCAGTATGTTATTCTGGGATAGGGGGAAAGGGTAGAGGTGTATAGGCTTCTAGAACGTCTTTGGAGCTTAAAAGTTCCTTTTTTCCCTACTTTATACACTATCAGACCATTTCATTTCCTCAGCACCACACTGTGACTACAGCCTGGATATTGCTCTCATAGTCCCTGGAGTATTGATTGAACCCATAACCTTTTGACTCAGCAGTTACTAAGCCAAGGTTGATAACTTGCTCTTAATCCAGTTTGACAATTTGGAAACATTCAAGTCGGTACATTGAGACTTGAAGCTCTAAACTTCTGTCTCAGGAGTAAGAGTATTACCATCTGAGCCACAGCTGACACTACATGGCGATAAATGAAAAGAATAAATTTCTCGCTTATTCTGAATATGACCTTCTTGGTTAGAAAAAAAAAATCAGAGCTTTTAACTAAAACAGTGTTGATCTTGCTTGAAGAAATAAGGCCTGGAATCAGCCGTTTGATGTTCTGCCACTTAATGAGATCATGGCTGACACTTTTTCACACCAACTCCACTCTCCCACCACGTCCCTCATTTCCTTCAGTGTCCAAAAACTACCAATCCCAGTCTTGAATTTACTCAACAGTTCCCATTGCCTGAGGAAGAGAATTCCAAAGAATCAGAACCACTTTCAATCCAAAGTGGTTAACACCAGATCCTGAGACTAAACTCTCTAGGTCTAGGCTTTTTAACCAAGGTAAACAGCATCTACTATCTTAAGTTCGTTTGGCTGATATTCATCCCTCAACCAACAAACCCTTTTGGCAGGATATTGGTTTTTATGGGAGCTTGCTGCACAC